AGTCCCATTGTTTATGTATTCATAATGGGCCCCTTTCTCTCTATCTTGTTCTCTTTTCTCATAAGGTCCTGGTGAAAGGCCTTCTCATGTACTGTTATTCCTTACTTCTTTACTTACACCTTCCTCCTGGTAATCTCTGGCAGTACCCACAAAGAGTATAATGGCTTCCCACTGCCCTTGCCCGAGCACTTATTTTTCTGGTCCCAGAGAAGACAGGGGCAGAGTCTGTCTCATTTTTTGCCTAAAACCTGGCTCTTTGAAAAGCCCTAGCAGAGAGAGACTTCCAATATGATGAAACTTCACGTAGCAGAACTTCTGCTGTGACCTACTGTTTACAGTATGCTGGTTTCGATTGTAGTGGGGGATGATTTTCATATCTGCACATTTATTTTGGTTGTCTTGGTTCCAGGGTATTTTTTTTTTTAGCTGAGCCATCCTGCCACCTGTTAGCAGCTCAGCAGCGGCTCAGCTTGGGCCTGGAATCGAACTGGCAACCCTGTTGCTCAGAGCTCACACTCTTGAGCAAGCTCTTAACCAACTGAACCATTCGGCTGGCCCACAGTTTTTGTATTAAACGTTTTCTGTTTATAAAATGGCTGGTGTGGATGGGTGATCAGACCCATTGGTACCTTTGAAGCTTGTGCGCCTGGACCCAGATGGGTGCAGGGCTTGTTACACAGGGACCTATTCTCTGACCTTTTGCCGTAGCTAAGTAGTAGACAGGTAAAGTGCTAATTGGAGAATTAGAACATTGAGACCCTTGGGTTTGCCTGGTTTCTGATTTTCTTCTGTTGTCTTGAAGTAGAAGTCCATTAAGTTGGACAAACTGAGCATCTGGGGCGTGCCAGGAACACAGCTACTCAGATGAACAATTGTGTTTGCTTTGCTGCATAAAGACTCTTTTGTTGGTATTTTACAGTTTTAAATTTCTAACGTTTTAAATTAAAAAAAAATTTTTGTTTTAGAAAACTGGTAATTTTTGTGTATGATGAAAGAAAACATTTGAAAGGCACAAATGGTTAGATGGTGACTATGTCTCTGCCCACCCCTGATTCTGCCACCTAGTTTTGTTCCTTAGAGGCACTGGCGTGACCGATTTCTTCATCCTCCAGAGTATTCCATGCACAACTAGGATATTTTGTACATCTGTTAGCAAATTCATTATGAATACCCCTTTCCGGGAATGCTTGCTGAACTTTCAGCCCCTCCCAGCTCCCTGTGTGGCCTGAACTGTATTCACACCATAGCCCTCAGCTTCTCAGATTCCAAAAACCCAGGCTGTGGTTCCCTTCTCTGTTCTGATCATGTAAATAAAGTCCTCACTCACTCTTCTCAATGACATTGAAAAAAAAGGTGCCCTTCTAAATAGAAAGATGATAGACAATACCAAATAGATTCTAGCCAAGGATATTTTTCCAAATTTAGAAAACATAGTTCCTTTCCCTCGATCTTGTCATGAATATCACCCATCAATCTATTTATTAACTCTACGTAGAAAGATGGGTATTGCACTGAAATTGCAAGAGAAATCTTGACGTTGCCACCAAAGAGCTCACAAGAAGAATCCAATTTTTCGAAGGCTTCTTCAGGCCTTACAGAGCACCTGTCAGTGGAACTAACGTGGTCAGGATCCATCCAGCTCTTCGAAGGGCCTCTGAGGCGGACAGGTGCTTAACCTCTCTGTATTCCTAGAGCCTTACCCAGGACCTGGCACAGGGAGGGTCCCCAAAGCCTCAGTGTCCTCGGTTGGTAATAATAGCTCAAGGAATTATGGTGAGTACCACATGAGGTAATGTCTGAGGATGTACTTTATAAACAGTAAATTATGTAATTGGTCTTCACCGTCAACACCAGTGCGTTTTCTGATATGTTTGAGGGGTAGCTGATGTCATATGAGTATATTTAAATCACGAGCATTTGATAAATTGTGGAATAACACAAATAGGAATTTTTTTTTGTTTCTTTTTTTTAATTTATTTTTTTCAGTTACAGTTGACATTCAGTATTATTTTACATTTGTTTCAGGTGTACAGCATAGTGGTTAGACATTTATATAATTTATGCAGTGATCGCCTGATTAGTGCCCACCTGGCACCATACATAATTGTTGCAACATTACTGACTGTATTCTCTATGCTGTACTTTACATCTCCATGACTATTTTGTAACTGCCAATTTGTATTTCTCAGTCCCTTTACCTTTTTCGCCCAGC